CTTCAATGATAAAGGGATGTGGATCAATATTGTACAATGAAAAAATATTATTTGCTTTTTTTGAATATCTAATCAAGGGAAAGGAAAAAAAAATCAAACATCAGCTCGGACTAAAAATAAAATTTTTTTTTTTAAAAAATAAAAATCTTTGTCGTGATTGTATACTTACGGACAATAAGATTTGCTGAAGATGACAATTTTATGTTCGTGAACTAATTCATTAACCTCCAATTCCAATTTACTTTGTGGCTCAATATAAGATAAATCATCAAGATACATATCTTGTTTCAAAGCTTCTTCAAAACGTTGTTGAGCGACATTTGGATGATTCTGTGAAGATGATGTGAAATCAATATAATGATTGAAATGGTTGTTTTGTTCTAGTGGTTCGTGAACGCCATGACTATGACCATTTGCACTGACACGACCATGATTTTCCACTTCCAATCCATGAATTCCTTCTTCACCACCTTCACCCAGAACCCAAGCGGCGGCGATAGCAGCTTTATTATTCTTATTGTAATATCGTAAATTATGGATGTTAAATCCACTACCACTAACGTGTGCTACCACCCATAACGAACATAAAAATATACCAAATGTTATTCCTAATATTTTAAATTTTTTGGTCCTTAAAATATAATCACAAATGTCAATTAATGAATTATTCTTTGGATCATGATGGTTAATAGATGCTAGCGGGTGGTGATATATTGGTAAAATCGTTGCTTTAGACATTTTATGCCAACACAATCTTTTTTGGAAATGTAATAACGATTAATTATTATTTTTTTTTTTTAAAAAAAAAAAATAAAGAAATAAAGAAAATATAAAATGAATGAGGGTGTTTGTAAAATTACCAGAATTTACTCAGAAAAGTGCTTTTTAAGAAAAGACAAGTTCAATAAGATTGATATTAAGTGATCACACAGATAATATTTGAATCGACACGTTAATTATCAACCGGAAGATTTATGAATAAAATATTTTTTTTTTCGTGAAAGGTTTGAAGACGATAAAATAATGGATCGTTATTTAGAAAAAGAAGTATGCAAATGAGAAAAAAAGGTATATGTATATAATACTATTTTACAAAGTAAAAAAAATTTTTTTTTCAATGAATTTTTTAAAAATTTTCATAAAAAGAAAAAAAAAAAATTTTTTTTTTCGATAAAAAAAGAGACATACGAAGCTTTTTAAGCTTATTTATTTTATCACTATAAAAACTTATGGGGTCGGTGTTACAATAATAATACAAATATTTACCCATCATTGGAGGATCAAATAATGTGATATTGATTCAGTACATAATATTATATATATTATATTGGGCGAAATAAAATAAAATCAGAAGTCTCCTGACTTGTTTTTATGTTTTTTTGTGCAACACTAAATACAATTGAAATCATCTTGGCATTCAAAGAACATCCTAATTAAATTTGAGATTCTAGGTTCATTAATGATATTGTGAATGGTTTCCGTATTATTATTATTTTTTTTATAGTCATTTATTTCATAGACATTCATACATTATATTTTCTATTTTTTTCGGAGTGATTAAAGTTCCAAAAAAAAAAGAATGCATCAGATCAAGAAAGAAATCTTTCATACAAACTTCCTTTTACATTGTTACCAAATAAATTTCGCCTCTTTCCGTGATGCCTTACGGATAATCATAATCTAGCTTAAAAGTCAATCACCAATCTCAGCTCAGCGCATGTACCATATATGTCCATTATTTGGTGATCTATTCGCCAAAGGAATTTCCATTAATGGGTTACCTCAACTTTCGGGAAAAACGCTATACGGAAATTCTCCAATTTCCCGAGGAATTCTAAACTCAAAGTATTGGTTCTAAGACTTTTTTAAATATATCGAACCTTTTTCTAATTGTGGATGACGATCCTTGATTCATTCAGGAAATAATAAATGATTGCACCTGACAATCACAAATAACCATATTTAATAAAGATACTTTGGTAACAAAATCTTTAGCCAAATTTTGACCTCCAATCATTACCTTTCTTGCTATTATAAATTTGGTATATATTACTAATAGAAGGAGAACAAGAAACCTCTTTCTTGGGCGTGAGAACCTCTTCATCAACGCTTTTAGCAACGATTTTCATTTAGCATAGGGTAAACCTTTTACCGCAGCAAAATTTAACACCCAGCCAGAATTAAAAAATTTCAAAATCATTAAGCACATTGTTACACGTGATGATCCAACAGTAACCGAACATAAGATTGTAGGTCGGTCAATCAATCGAAGGTGAGCGTCAAGTAACGTCATCAACAGACAGGAAAGTAAATTTTATTCAAACTTGAATCATACTAATTTCAAAAATATTTTTTGACAAACCAACCAACCAAAGCATCATCCCCCTTCCCAAAATTGCAATAACAAAACGTCCTAAAAGAACAAATCATTTCTTCTTTCCTTTACCCTTACCAAGCATTTTCAAATCTTTACTGGTAAGTTCGGGTAATTGTTCATTACTTTCCATAAATTCCAGATCATATTCTTCTTCGCCGAACCTTTTAATAAATTTACTTAATTGACCACTCTCGTCATCCAACTCTTGCGAATACTTTGATGGATTCCATAATGGATGATTCCTCGTATCCCTTATCAATTTAATTTGAGGTTTTGGTGATGTCGTACGTAATGTATACGTTGCCCCATTTGTTAATACTATTTGCTGGGTGAATAATTCAGGGCGTACGAATGCGATTGATTTTGTAGCAGCGTAAGAACGTTTATTCAAAGTTTGAATAGGAGAAACGGGGAGACGTTTTATAGAGTTCTGTGATATAATTTTCATACGCAATTTTGAAATATTCATTCTTATATCTATAAGGTTAAACCCATAAGTAAATAATAAAGAATTATAATAATTGTAATAGGTTTTTCAACTTACTTGAAACGTCTTATATACCCTTTCTGAAAATATCATATAAACCAATCTATTAGAGTTTGATGTGGGTTAAATCACTTTTCTCAACATCAAACAAAAAAAAATTCTGTCAATAAATAATTAAATAAAGCAAACTTAATACTTTGTTAACCTTAAATTCAAGACAAAAAAATGTCCCTTACATAAATGAAACAAAAAATTGAAACGATTTACAGATCCTTTAATGAAATAGAAAAAAAAAATTTTTTGTTATGCATAGCTGATTTATAATGAAAGATCAGTCAGTATCATGTGATATTTTAGTGTCATCTTAGATAAGCTATTTATAATCATGCGCCCTGGCCACAACTTTATATTTTTATTTCATTTTACTAATGGAATAAATATTTTACTAATCGAATTATTTATTATTCGCATCTCTCTTTGTCTCATTTGACGTATAAGAATATTGAATTTGTTTACGTTTTTATAACCTAATGTTTGACATTAATAATAAACGACAATGAACTTTCTAAATGATTAATTATTTGGTAACATGGCTTCTTATTAAATTTTTTTCAATTAAACAAAAAAAGTTGATACGAAATTATAAAGGTAGAATGATAGAATCAAATGGTCGCATTTCTTCTTTCTCTTGATGAACCCAATGAATGCAGGATATGCGAAGAAAATTCTTGTGAATTAGGAGTGTATCACAGATTAACACACGATTTAAGAGATGCATGCATTAACTTTGATCGAAAATTATTTTAATCATGATTAATTCCGGCTGACCTTCCTGGTAATCGAAGAATTTATTTACTATGATGATTATCAGGCATTTAAAAGGACAGTTAATGATTAAATTTATTAATTATTTTGAATGGCTTCCAAAACGATAATCTTGCAAGTAGATGATTTTTATCATTTTCAGTAAATGCGCGAATACAACTTTACAGTAGATAGCATAAAGATTTCATTTTAAATTTGAAAGTGTAAACCATCGGTAATGATAGAATTGTTGCCGAAATCAATAATTTTAATGATCATAATTAATTTTGGGGTAGAACGTAAATCGTAATTAAAAAAATTAATTTTACGACAATCTATTTTTACCTTTAATAATCTAAAATTGATTTCATATAGATATATCTACGAATTATTCTTAAAACACAATCGCGAATATCCGCGTGAAGCGGTGATTGGAAGATCATAATTAATTAGTTACTTTGTTTAGTAAGCATCCAGTTGATCCTCCGAAGCTCTCATACCCGAACCCGTTATCCTGCAAAACACCATTATTTTAGCAACTCTAATTTGGTAAAACTGAAAGTTTGAAACAAAGTATATAAAATCATGCTGCAAATTATAAAATGTTTAAAACGCGTACATTCTTTTATCTTAATCGGCGGTTTGGTGCTTTTTTTTTTTTTTTTCTATTTTCATTTTAAATATTTAATATTACAAAGAAAATTTCTTTGTGATACTTTTTAAAAAGTAAAATAGAAAAAAAAAAAAAAAAGGAATCCTTTCAACGAAGCTCCAGTATTAATTTAAAAAAAACTTCGCAGAGCACCCACCCTCAAACCTTAAAAAAAAAATCATTGACGAATGTTTTAATAACCCATAAAACAAAAAAAAGCCTCTTTCCGGGCCTTAATGACTTTTTAAAACCATCCTCATTTAGAATAATATTCATTGATCGAGTTGAACTCGCTTATTATTCTTTTTATTTTCTTAATACATTATTTTCACTCTTTCAAGGTTTAAAACATGGTGTCAATAGAGTCAATCGTTTTTGGTGTGCTTAGCATATTATTATCATCGTTAAGTCTTGTACATATAATTCGAATCATGACGTTTAAGTTCTCCCCCTTCCTTCATATAACGTGTTTGATTGGAACTTTGGTTATCCTGATTTTGAGTATATTAGATCTTGTGAGCACGTTTATAGAGACGGTGGATTATTCTAGTATATATTTCCTTTGTACATCGTTAACATCAATCTTGGCTTGTTATATTATTTTACAAGTTGGGATTAATTTTTATCAAAAATACACATTCATAAGAACATTGATGATATTCGCCCCCATTGCGGTGTCGATGGGAGTATTTGGTTTAACAGTATTCACGACAATTAGAAAGTTCTTGAGCGAAGATGACAAGGCAACAAAAGATTTCGAATTCATCACATATTACTTGAGTTTGGCTGCGGGAACATTAAGTTTAATCTACGGAATATTTCCATTATTTTCTATCAAATCTCAAACTCAACTTCGACCACAACAAACCGCTGTTGCCGTAGTAAATTTCTTCATCGTAGTAAGCTTCTTTATAGCTCATTTTATAATTTACACCCTCATTGTATTGAACCATCCAAAGGTATGGGAGATGAAATATCGTTTTATAGAAAATTTGATCTTACTCTTAATATTTCCTGGTTGTCTAATTGCCCCTCCAAGAGGTCTCGTTAAATTTATTAAAAGAAGGTTATTGGGCGTCGAAGAGTTAACCATTGGTGGTGATTATCGTCCCAATTTATTACCGAACGACTATAGTAATACGAGTATAATGACGTCCCCGTGGGTGGGTGATATTAAAACGAGTTCACAAAAGCCTTTACCTGCTTTACCTCCTTTACCACCAATTTCAATATCGATTCCATTAATTTCATCCCCTACTTGTCCATCATCAGGACCAAATTCTTCATCACCGAGATCAGCTATAAATTCTAGATCAATTCCAAATTCTTCTTCACCAACACCAGCACCAAATGCTTATACGCCTAGTCAATTTTATTATAATAGTAGTTTTAATTCTTCAAGAAACAATATAACAAATAATTTAAGTTATAGTTTGAATTCATCTAATTCAGATACCAGCTTTTACCTAGATAATTTCCGTTACAACACATCAAATGGTGGCAATCCTAGACGATTTCCTTCAAGAAGATAGAAAGAAGAAAAAAAGAACATTTTCATTACATTTATTTATTTATATTTATTATTTAATTTTTTTTTTTTGAGGGGTTTTTTTTATATTATTTTTTTTTTTTTTTTATTCATGAACTTATAATGTTTAGAAAAAATAAAAAATTAAATACTGAATCAATCTTTCATTTTTATTTTATTTCATTTAATGCTGTAATTACTACGCCATATGGCGAATTTCAAATAATTAGATTTCTTTTTTTTTTTGTATCCGCCGAAATATTTTGTAATTAATAATCTAGGAATATAATAATTTTATTTCCTTAAAAATAATAATTTTTTCCTTTACTTGTCAAATAAATGAATTTTACGTATCTCATTAAATTTGTTGTTCCGCTACACGAAAATTTGACTGTCCGACCGTCAGACATGTAAGCTAAATTGGTATAAATATATTGCTATTAATATCAAGTTACGAGAAATAGTAAATCATAAAGATACTAACATGATTTTAATAAAAAACCTCCCAATTTTCTCTAATGAATTATAATCTAAAGAACTTCAAGTCTAATATTGAAAATAATTTTCGAACTTGAATTGTGTCGAGATAACACGGGTTACCATGCATTTGACTTTGAAGCCAAAAGAAAAAAATGGGTCCTTATAATCGTTGTGAACTATTATCATTAAAAATCCATGAAAAGATATTTTTAGATATTCAGATCCCAATTACAAATTTTTGTAATTTCCGTCGAATGATCATTAAATAAATTAAATAAATCTTTAACTAATTTAACTAATTTATAATAGTTATTGTTGAAAAGTATTCAAAGAAATTCTAGCAAAACTATTTAATTCGTATTAAAAATTTGGGTAAGCTCTCACGTGATAAATAATAAGTCTCAAATGGTTATTTCTACCACTAAAATATCTAACCACGAGGCGAAGAAAATAAATGGAAAAATGTTTAAAAAAAATAATTTTAAAAACATAATGGAATAGAGGAAGTACTTTTAAATTTAACAACCAATTTGTTATTAAAAAAGACGATAGAATAGTTATTAGCAAAATTAATCGTTTGATATCAAAACTTAAACAAGAAAGTTCATTGATATTAGCGTTATTACAAACAGAATTCGTCTTATTCAAACTTACATCAATTGTTACAGCGTGGAGAATTGCTTCATTCTAGTTTTTTTGATAAGATCACGAAAAATTTTGTCATAGAAAAAATAAATGAAAAGAAAAATTTACAACGTACTACGTAATCGTTTTTTTTTTTTTTTTTTTTTTTTTTTTTTGTTGAATGTATTTTATATATTCTTAAAAATTAATAATTATGAATTTCGTGAATTTTTTTAATTGTTCATTGATCTCCAAAAAAAAACTATATTGTAAATTGTTTTCGACTATTCTTTTATTTTATTCTTTTAAAAACAATTGAAATACAATTTTTCTCTTTAAGTAAAAATGTTAAATTTGCAATTAGAAAATACATAGCTGTTTCAATGATTCAAGAAATTCGTAAATTCGTAATGTTAAATTTTTATTAAATTCACATCACAATATGTATTACCATTACTGTTATCGTTATACAAGATAATTGGGATGAAAAAAAATTATTTTTTTTTAAACTTTTTTCTTATAAATTATAACAATGTCTGAAAATAAAGGTAAAAGTGCAATAAAGGAATAAAGTCAAATGAGTTTATACAGTTAGGTGATATTCTAACATTTTTCATAAATTAACATTAGCGGATGCTAAGAATACATCCTCATTAGAAGAAATAGAAGGTAATTCCATGTATTATTAACCACATTTAAATATTATAATAATTCACAAATAAACATAGAACCAGCTTCAAATGATGAAGGTAAATACAATAACAATTATGTATTTAACGTATATTATAATTTAACTATGTTCAATTAATATTAGAAGGATTGGATGGTAAAGAATAATCTAACTATCGTTAGTCAAAAATTATATTTTAATTGTTATTTATATATAGATTGTAAGCCATTTAACTTTTATATATCTTAATACAATTAAATTTTGATTAAACTTTTTAATAAACAATATCTAACGATTAATAATACCATAGGGAGTAAGTTATCTATAATTTTTTATATTGCAATTTAAACATAACTAATTTTATTTTAAAAAATATTTAATGATATTTTAGTCGGTAAGTTATTTTTATGAATTATTTAATTATAATTTTATAATAATTAAACCCTCTAAATATTTATTAAAAATTATAGAGCGTAAGTTATATTTATTAATAAATTTAACTATAATCATACAATATAAATCAAAAGTACTAACATATTATTATTACAGAAAGTTAATTATTTTAATTAATTAATTATACTTTTTATTGTAATAAAATTTAAATCTTTTATTTAAAAAAAAATCATCTTTTAGATGGTAAGTTATTTTTATTGATTATCAGTATTTAATTTTATATTTTTACTGTAATTTAAACTCAATTAAATTTTTTATATAAAAAAATAATTAATAATATAATAATATAATAGATGGTAAGTTATTTTTATTGATTATCAATATTAAATTATATTTTTTATACTTAATTAAATTTTTATTTAAATATTAAAAATATTACTAAAGCAGGTAAGTTATTTTTATTGATTATTAATATTTAATTATACTTTTTACTATAATTAAACTCAATTAATTTTTTATTAAAAAAATAATTAATAATTAATAATAGATGGTAAGTTATTTTTATTGATTATCAATATTTAATTAATATTTTTTACTGTAATTTAAATTTAAATTCAACTAAAATTTTTATATAAAAAAAAATTAATAATATAATAGATGGTAAATTATTTTTATTAATTATTATATTTATCTATACTTATTATTATAATTTAAACTCAACTAAATTTTTCATTCAAAAAAAAAATTATTAATTATTACATAATAGTTAGTAAGTTAATTTTATTGATTATTTTGTATTTAATTATACTTTTTATTGTAATTTAAACTCAACTAAATTTTTTATTTAAAAACAAAAATATTATTAAAGAGATTAAGTTAATTTTATTGATTATAAGTATTTATTTATACTTATTACTGTAATTTAAAAAAATAATTAATGAAATAATAGATGGTAAGTTATTTTATTAATTATTTGTATTTATCAATACTTTTTTTATAATTTAAATTTAACTAAATTTTTATTTAAAAAAATAATTAATAATTAATAATATGATAGATAGTAAGTTATTTTTTATTGATTAACAGTATTTAATTATACTATTTACTATAATTTAAATCCAATTAATTTTTATTTAAAATATTAATAAAGAAAGTAAGTTATTTTTATTAATTCTTAGTATTTAATTATACTTTTTACTATAATTTAAATTCAATTAAAATTTTTACTTAAAAAATAATTAATATTTTAGCTTGTAAGTATTTTTATTAATAATTAGTATTAATTTTACTTTAATATAATATATAATATAATTTTATTTTTAAAAATATATAATAAATTTGTAAAATTTAGTAAGTTTATTTTAATCTTATAATAAAATTATAATAATAATACTAATAATATAAAATATTTATTTAGAAAAAAAAGGAATATGTATAATTTGTAATACAGAAAATAACTGGATATAATTGGTGTAATAGCTGTAATTCTAAATTTTTTCAACAAAAATTTTCTAATTGAACTAGCAAAAATGAATTTATTAATAAATTTATTCAAAAAATTCAATTAAATGCTAAAAATACAAAGCAAATATTAGAATGCATTCCTTATAATAAATTAGTAAATATTGAATACCTTGATAAAGGAAGATTTAGCATTATATATAAGGCTATTTGGTTAGATAGATTTATTAAATCTTATTCAAATAATAACAAAAATTGGATTAGAAGTAAAGAAATAGAAGTAACTCTTAAATGCCTTGATAAATTTGATAAATCATCTAATTTAAATAAAGCATTTTTAAATGAGATATAAAATTAATGATTATTTTTAATTTAAGTAATAAATTTTTAAATAATTTTTATTATTTTAGTAGAAACATCATTATAATTATTTTAGTCAACTAAAAAAATATTCAGATGAAATCTTATTCAATTATATGGATTTACCCAAGATCTAAATACATTAAATTATGTGATAGTAATGAAATATGCAAAAAATAGTAATTTAAAAGAAAATTTATTAAATATAATCAAAGATAAATGGATCATTAAATTAAGAAAATTATTTAATATTATTAGTGGACTTAATGAAATACATCAAAAAAAACTTATTTATTGTGATTTTCATCATGGTAATATTTTAAATTTGAAAGATAATATTTTCTCTATTAGTGATTTAGGATTATGTAAACCTGTAGAATATTTTCAAACATCTAAAAATAATGATATTTATGGTGTTTTACCATTTGTAGCACCTGAAGTTATAAGAGGTCAACCCTATACTTTAGCTAGTGATATTTATAGTTTTTCTATAATTATGTGGGAATTAATACTCCATTGATAATGAAGCTCATGATTTTTAACTTAGCTTAGATATTTGCAAAGGTAAACGTCTTAAAGATATTAAAAATGTTCCACAATATTATATAAATTTAATGAAAAATGTTGGGATATAAATTCATTAAAAAGACTAATTGCATCAGAAATTAAAAAGATTATTGAAAATTGGAAAAAAATATTATTTCTAATATTTTTGAAGAAGAATTAAAAAATGATATTTAGATTTTTATAAAGCAGATAAAGCATTAAAACATTTACAAAATAATAATGTTATTAATAATAAAATTACTATTAAATTACATTCACAAGCATATTATACAAGTCGATTATTTAATTATACTGAAAAATTAAATAAAATATTAAATCAAAATAATATTTTAAATGAAGATACTAGCCAAAGTATTAGTAATTATTTTATATATAAATTAAATATTACCAAAAATAAGTTAAATTTAATAAATTTATTTTTTAATTTATAGATAATTTAATTATTATAA